GCATTGCAAAAAGTAGATCTACTTTCAGTTTCATTATCGCAAAATTCATGATTTTGAATGGATTCAGATTCATAATTATCCGACCTACCTTCTGTATTAGAAGTTTTCAGCCCTAAAACAGATCTCAACTGATTAACGTTTTCGGCACTTAAGTTATTTAAGTCAATAACATTTACCTGCCGGTTATTACCGCTTGACTCAGAAGGCTGCAAAATGACAACATCGTCGCCATTGTTATTTTTCTCCGGGACTGTCAACACGTGGTTGATCATGTGACTTATCATAACGCTTCGATCTACTCGGGACTTTACCGTCTTTTGCTACTTTTGTCACAATAGACCTAACTCTATTTGATTTTGGAGAATTGTTAGGGGAAAAACCCGAAAAACTCTCTTCGGAGGAAGAACTTCCAAAAAGTGACAAGACATCGTCTTGCCTACCACTTCTCTTGCGCGTTGACATCGTCAAACGCTAAGTCAAAAAATAAGTGGGCGTGGAAAAGAAAGCTCGAGACAAACAACTCGTAGCTAAAACAAAAAACAAATAGTGTAAAAAACACAAAACAAGAACAAATCAAAATTCAAACATTCCAGCCCGAATAAACGAAACAAAAAAGCCTTCACAAGGCCACGTGGTCACTTACCCAAAAACTTCTCTAAACACTCACGCGACAGGGTCGCTAAAATGACTATGAATTGCACGTGGAATTGTCCGAATTTATATACTATGTGGTCACGTGATATCAGGTCATTTTTGTTGACCTGTAAAAAGCGATGGTTCTCTATGGGTCACTTAAGTGATATGCTTGTATATGAGAGCTGAAGGCCATTGAAAATAATGTGTTTTTCGGCTTTTCTAAGTTTTTGATGCTAGGTTAGTAACATAGCCGAAAAACACTTTCATACAATGTTTATTAAAAAAATATTACTGATGTATTACATTGCTAACAAATATAATGTTATATTTATTACATGCTTTTCGGTGGTTTATAGAAATATATCAGTGAAATAAAAACTGATAATTCACTGTTTTAAACAGTGAAATTATCAATTTGATAATTTCACTGTTTTGAATATTTGAGCCCGGTACGTTGTTTCAGTGAAATACAAGCGTTCACAATCATGGAAACCAACTTAATGACGTGACGTGGAAAATGACGTCACGTTGTATTATTATTTGGCGCCCTTTTCATTTAGTAAGTATGCTTAAATGTCTTTTTAAACGTTTCTTTGCATATAATAAAAAGAAAATTTGTTTAGTTTAGTGTAAGATCAAAATATATTTCACCTCGTGAACACCAAAAGTTCATATATCTTTTGGTGCTCACTCGGTGAAATATATTTCGATCTTACACTGAACTAAACAAATATCCTCTATTTATTCATTTAGACGGTTGAAAAAATTTATTTAATAGCTCTTATTTTAAATATGTCTATTTCATCACCCATTAAATGTGTTTTTTGGCTTTTCCCATTGTTTTTGACGCTAGACCGTAATGTAGCCGAAAAACACTTTCATACTATATTTATAAAAATAATATCACTGACATTTTCCATTGGTAACAAAAAAAATGTAATAGTTATTCATTTAAAAGGTTGAAAAAATATTTAATAGCGGCTCTTGTTTTCACTACGACTATTTTATCGCCCGTAAAAATGTGTTTTTAGTCTTTTCCTTGTTTTTGACGCTAGACTGTTACGTTGCCGAAAAACACTTTCATATCGCATTAAATACAGAATAGAATCATTCTCTAATTTACACTGGTTGCAAAAAGAAAGTAAATTTATATCATTTAAAGGATAGAAAAAAGTAGATAAAACTAATTTTGTTCGAATTATACGAATTGTATAGCCCATAAAAAGTGTTTTTCGACTTTTCCATGTTATTTTTAGCTTACCTTTTGAGTTTCCAAAAACATTTTTATAGTGCGTTCTTTTCGATTGATAAGTTAATTGATCGGAAGTGTGAAAAACAATTACTCTAGTGACTAAAATGGGAATGAACATTTTGTATTGCTTGTGGCATGTGTTTTTCGACTTTTCTATGTGTGACGCAGACTTAGTGAACACTTTCATCAGCGTATTGTATGATATATTATCGATTTAAAACTGATATTTTTGAACCCATTTCATCAAATAACCAAAAATTGTTTATATTGCTGAATTAAATCACTTTGTATTTTAAGTGTTTTTCGGTATTTTGGTGTTTTTCGGTGTTTTTTAGCAATTCCAAGCACCGGCATTACAATAATTCCTATTTTCTGAACATAAATTTAATGTATTTATTTCTTAAAACTTACACTGATTTACAGTTAGTTTCAAATGATTATTTATTATCGTCGCCTCTGGCCACAGATGCCTATATTTAGCTCCATGCTCTGGCTTAATCGTCAACATTCCAAATTGTTATGGGTTGAATGGTCGAGTGGCTGAATCTTTATTTTTACCCGTACTGAATACAAACGCTGAATTTCGAAACATATTTCTTTTCAAAAATCTAAGGCATATAAAAGTGAAAGGAAAATCATGTGTAAAAAAGGCATTCAAAAGAATAGCTTACAAAATTTCTATTTTTCGAAGCCACGATTATTGCCAGGTTAACTAGAAATGTGTCATCATGCCACGGATGCCCCCGCATGCAGCCAAAATTTCAGATGTTATAATATTTAGTTCCAAATTTGTTTGCACAAAAATATTGTTTTCATTTTAAGTTCAAAGCCCTTTAAACTTTTCAGTGTTAACACAAACCATTTTCATACAATATTCAAGGCACTGAAATTATTCAGTCTTAACCTTTTGAAAATAGCATATTTCATATTTGTAGCCAAAATAATGGCTATACATACATTTCCACAAAAGTATGAGTGCTGAAACAAAAAGTTCAAAAAATTTCCAATATTCAAGAAAGATAAGGTTGTCCAAAATCATTAAACCATGACCAAATTCAAACTTAAACTGCTTATTCCTAAGACGTATCTATATTATTTTCAAAGTGAAAGGGACATAACTCTGCCAAAAAATCATCGAACCATGACCAAATTCCAACTTGACCTGCCCATTCCTTTGACATATCCATATGTCAAATTTGAGTTGAATATGTAACACTGTTGGGTAGATAATAAACAGAAACTGTAAATTTCATATTATTTTCAAAGTGAAAGGGGCATTACTCTGCCAAAAATCATTGAACCATGACCAAATTCAAAATTGGCCTGGGCATTCCAGAAACATATCCATATGTCAAATTTGAGTTGAATGTGTTGTACTGTTGGGGAGATAATGAACGGAAACTGAAAATTTCATATTATTTACAAAGAAAAGGGGGCATAACTCTGCCAAAAATCATCGAACCATGACCAAATTCGAACTTTACCTGTATTTTCTCATGACATATCCATATGTCAAATTTGAGTTGAATGTGTTGTACCGTTTGGGAGATAATGAACGTAAACTGAAAATTTCACATTATTTTCAAAGTAAAAGGGGCATAACTCTGCCAAAAATCATCGAACCATGACCAAATTCGAACTTGACCTGTATTTTCTCATGACATATCCATATGTCAAATTTGAGTTGAATGTGTTGTACCGTTGGGGAGATAATGACAGAAACTGAAAATTTCATATTATTTTCAAAGTAAAAGGGGCATAACTCTGCCAAAAATCATCGAACCATGACCAAATTCGAACTTGACCTGTATTTTCTCATGACATATCCATATGTCAAATTTGAGTTGAATGTGTTGTACCGTTTGGGAGATAATGAACGGAAACTGAAAATTTCATATTATTTTCAAAGTAAAAGGGGCATAACTCTGCCAAAAATCATCGAACCATGACCAAATTCGAACTTGACCTGTATTTTCTCATGACATATCCATATGTCAAATTTGAGTTGAATGTGTTGTACCGTTGGGGAGATAATGAACGGAAACTGAAAATTTCATATTATTTTCAAAGTAAAAGGGGCATAACTCTGCCAAAAATCATCGAACCATGACCAAATTCGAACTTGACCTGTATTTTCTCATGACATATCCATATGTCAAATTTAAGTCGAATGTGTTGTACCGTTGGGGAGATAATGAACGGAAACTGATGATGACGGAATGACGGAAGGACGGAAGGACGTAACAGGGTAACACTATATGCCCCGGCCATTACATGGCGGGGGCATAAAAAAACATTTTCTGGTATATGCAGGTAAATTTTGTTATGGAGCTCAATACTCATTTTGTAAAACATTTAAGAACAATTTTATTGCATAAATGTAAATCAGGAATTTTATTTGATTAAATATCTATCTTAGATGTTTCGTCCCATTTATATAATTCTGACGACTTTACTATATTTACGATGTATTTATTCATGCTAGCAAGTTTATGCGTTTATGCTAAGTTTAATGCGTAGGTATATACTACAATTTTATCAATGAACTGTTATTTTTCCTTTCTTTTAATCTATTATTTCATGAAAATGAACGATTTGAAATTTTCAAAGCATTAAAACATTTTTGCAAGCAATATTTTAATGATGTGTAGTCGGATGTAACAATAGCACAGAATGAAGAACTAGTCTCTATAGTGGATATTATCCGGAAGTGAATGTTGTTCGGTAAAGGCTTAACTCCTGCGGAGATATAGCTTATAACTCTGTATACATTGCAAGCAATGTATACTAAAATGCAATCAACACACATGGATTAGTATTAAATATTAATAACATTCATATATAAACATGTCATCAAGATATTTATACTTTTGTCAGATATTCCCCTCCATAAAACCATGCATTATAATGCAAGAAAAATTACTATCTGTGTCTATTCTAACATGCTCATAAAAAAGGGATTGATAGAAATATGTCAAACTACATTGAGCGTAGAAGTAATTTTCCTAAAATCAATTGGTTTAATGATGTCATATCTGAAAATATGTGGAGAATAGTGTGAAGTGACTGTTATAATGTTTAATTAAATTGTTTTATTTTCCTGCTCTTGTAGGAATAGAAAGATCACAAACACCGGAAAGTTTCAAGACAACCCTTAAATGGTAATTAATTTGAATAATTGTTCACTGGCATAAATCGGTTTCCATATTGTCTGTTCAAAATATCAGATGGAAGTTTTTATTAAATTTAAAAATGGATGAAAAACTTTCATAAAGTGCTGCAAGTACATACAGTAACATTATAAAGCTCTAATGATTAGATTAAATATTTTGTGTAGCTGAGAAAATGTTTAAAAAAACAAACAGGTTATTTGATATTTTATAGGAATTTGATGTTGCAGTTTTGACTAAATTACATTAATATTATTGTCTAGATTCTGTATGTAAAGCTCAAAGTTCAAATCAAAATGTCAATTGGAATTGATGTCTGAAAAACTACTGTTTCAAAAGCTACAGATTTCTTCTCACTTTCTTCATTAATTTTGAAATCTGATACCATTCTGCTTTAATGAAGGATGGAGGAAAGAAACAAGAACTTTTACAAAGCCTGGCAATCTGATCAGAAAACATGGTGTAGAAAGGTGGTTAGAGAACTCTCTGATGTTATAAGATGCACAAGGTATATGGCAGTATCACTGATACTACAGTAGATCTTCAGTAAGCTAAAGGTGTAGGGATTTGTGTAAAAACATATTAAGATCCATTTCAATTTAATGACAACATTTTGAGCCATCGCTGTTTACTAGTGAGTTACAAAAAGCATAATAAAACGAAAGGGTGATAACTAAACTAGCTTATAGTGACTTATCACACAACACCAGGTCTCAGAAAGTCTCACACAAAGCTTATTTGTACTGTTTATTTTTTAACTCGACATTTTTATGAAAAAAACAACAACAACAAAACAGGTATTGTTATTGTCATGTTGGCATTCCAATTGCCGTTGCTGCCTGAAAACTTTAACCTTGATATCATAACTTTTTAAGTTCTTGGCGTATTGTTTTCATACTTGACCAGGTTATAAACCTTCAAGTAGATAACCTTGACCTTCATTCATAAATGACCTTGACCTTCAAGGTCACATGTCTAAATATTGCTTGGTTTTTATTATGCCCCCGGGCATATAGTGATTGAACCGTCCATCCGTCTGACCGTACGAGATTAACCTAGAACGGCAAATTGGATATTTCTTAAGTTCTACCTGTACCAATGGCTTCTAAGTTTACACACTTACTAATCAATACAAAGTACAGGATCTGGGCAAGTTACATAACTCTGGCTTTCATATTTACCAAGTTATTGCCCTTTTCAGCACTTAGAAAATGAATAATGGTTAACCTAAAACGGCAAGTTGGAAATATCTTAAGTTCTATCTATACTAATGGCTTTATAATTTCCACACTTACTTATCAATACAAAGTACATGATATTGCCAAGTTATATAACTGTGTCATCCATATTTCCCAGTTATTTCCCTTTTTTCACAAAATAGGGCCTTGTCTGGTTAACCTATTTCGGCAAGTTGGATTTATCTTAAATTTCTCCTAATTGCTTAATTTCTTTAATGATATCTTTCATATTTAGTAGGTGGATATCTTTGATGGTCCTCTAATTTTTTGTGGAGTAAGCCGTCTCTAGGGTCAAGGTCAAGGTCACTGGTTTAAAAAATAAATATAAACATTTTTGCTCATACAACCTTTATATTTTAGTTGATGTTTTAGTTTAATACAAACATACCAAGGGAGGTCCTCCTTCTTTGGGTGTAGTAAGGGGTCATTTGGGTCAAGGTCAATGTTACCAATGTCAAGGTCACCAATGTTAAAAATAGATTTTTACATTTTTACAGGTGTATTGACCTTATTCTATAGACAGATGTTATTTATAATTGATAGAAACATAAACTTTGATGGAGTTAGTGGTCAGTTGGGTCAAGGTCACCAGTGCTAAAAATAGATTTTTACACATTTGCTCATACAGCCTTTATTAAGTGACAGATATATTTTATATTTGGTAGGAAGATAACTTGCATGGTCATCATTTTGATTGGGGTAGGGATCAGTGGGTCAAGGTCACTTGTGCTAAAAATAGATTTTTACACTTTTGCCCATACAGCTTTTATTTATTGACAGATGTATTTCATATTTGGTAGGAAGATAACTTGCATGGTATTCTTCCTTTGGATGGAGTAAGGGGTCAGTTGGGTCAAGGTCACCAGTGCTAAAAATAGATTTTTACACTTTTGCCCATACAGCCTTTATTTATTGACAGATGTATTTCATATTTGGTAGGAAGATAACTTGCATGGTATTCTTCTTTTGGATAGAGTTATGGGTCAGTTTCGTTAAGGTCACCAGTGCTAAAAATAGATTTTTACACTTTTGCCCATACAGCCTTTATTTATTGACAGATGTATTTCATATTTGGTAGGAAGATAACTTGCATGAAGTTGAATTTTTTTCATCTTCACAAGTCAGAGCAATGACTTGGCAACTTATATTTTTCACAATAACAAAATGCTATGACTTTGTCAAGCTATATGACTTGTGTTTACAATTTTTTGGCAATTTTTCTGACCATAACTGAGTGAATGGGTAAACATTTTTTGAAAAATTGCTACTGACAAGAATCTGAGCCGGGGGCATTTGTGTTTAACAAACACGTTCTTGTTTTAGCTGATTTTGCTGTTAGTGACTCTAACTTTGTTATTTTTGAATGCGTTGTCTTCAAACTTGAACATTATAATCTTTTAAGATAGACCTTTAAGTTAATCAGACAGACCTTGACCCTCAGTCATAAATGACTTGACCTTGAATCTCAAATACAGAAATTTTCATGTTTGTTTGTGTAACTGGCTATAACTTTGTTATTAATGAATGGATTGTCTTCATATTATAACATAACATTTTTTTAGGATAAGACCGTCCTGCATTTTAAACTCAAATTGACCTTGGCTCATTTATGACCTAAATTGTTGAATTTTCACTGATCTTTGCTATAATTGACTGTAACTTGGTAATTAAATCAAAGGGCTGCAAGCTCTGTGGTATTTTCTGATCTTTGCAATCTAAATCGTACTGTATATCTGTATGTGTTTTCCTGTATAAGTTTATTTTTGGCATCCGCGCCGAAGCGCGGCGCCTCTTATGGAATGAAATCAGATTTTGTGAAAGGGCGACAGCAACTTCTCGAGCCTTTTAGTCGGACATAATAAAAGCCGATCATTCCGATCAGTATGAGGGTGCTTGATTGTTAATTAAAAATTAAATGTCGCGATATATACATGTACAATGAATAGCGAACTGGAGAATTTCGCAATGCAAACATTTTCAAATGAAACGACCTTTTCCGTCAATAAATCGCTCTCTTCGGGGTATTTTTATTTATCATTTTGTAGTACACAGTAGGTTATTATGGTACATGTATCCGAAAGCTGAATAGAATGATGAGTTGATGACCTAAATATTCTGAAAATCTATTTAAAGAGGGATGTACTCCTATCGGTAATTCCCGGTCTCTCCTGGTCTATTTTGACCGGAATTTACTAGTGACCACACGTTTATTGTCCGGTTTCTCCCGGTTTTGGAGTAGATGTTTGATATCGTTACAGAACAGAACAAATATTTTACAGTTATATAGGTTTTTTTCAAAATGAATGTTTGTCACTTAGTTTGGTTACAATAATTAATAAACACATATCAACTCTCAAATTTATTGATTATTACTATACATAAACATACAATTCGAAAAAAACAAAACAACAACAACAATAGCATGTTTTATTTTATCTATATGAGATAAAAACAATAAATATGTACAATAATTGAGAAAAAAGGTACATTTTTTATGGTATTAATATGACACTATCAACTTTGAAACATTTCATATTATTTGTTATTCGTGTTTAGTAAAGATGCCGAGGAATTATTCAAAGTTACAAATTAGATTTTATGAATTATTCAATTGATTGATAATTTAAAAAATGATAAAGAAAAATACAAATGTACATGTATATGGTTTAAGAATAAACAATATTATATATTGAAAGATTAACCAGAATTTACTGACTTTTTCCAGTTAAGTTTTTACTTATAATCGTCGGTCAATATGACAATTGAATTCTTAAAACAGTAGTAAACGTAAAAACTCAGTATTAAAATAGCACATAAAACACAAAAAAGAAAAGAAAACAATATTCATAAAATCTGTTTTTTTAGCTCACCTGAGCACGAAGTGCTCAAGGGTGAGCTTTTGTCATCACTCTGCGTCCGTTGTGCGTCCTTCAAAAAATGGCGTCAAACTTTTCAAACAACATCTCCTCCTAAACCACATGGCCAATTGCAACCAAACTTTACAGAAATGATCCTTAGGTGGACCCCTTTCAAAGTTGTTCAAAAATTTAAATTCCATTAAAAAAATTTGGTTGCCATGGCAACCAATAAGAAAAACTTAAAAAAATCTTCTTCTAAAAAACCCTAAGAGCTAGAGCTTAGATATTTGGCATGAAACATCTTCTAATGAGTGCCTACCAAGTTTGTTCAAATCAAAGCCCTGGGGTCAAAATTGGCCCCGCCCCAGGGGGTCATTGATTTTCCCTATATGCATATGATATAGTAAAAACTTAAAAAATCTTCTTTTAAAGAACTCAAAGAGCTAGAGCTAAGATATTTAGCATGAAACATGTTCTAATGGGTGTCTACAAAGTTTGTTCAAATAAAAGCCCTGGGGTCAAAATTGGCCCCGCCCCAGGGGTCATTGATTTTCCTTATATGTGTATAGCAAAAACTTAAAAAATCTTCTTTGAAAAAACCCAAATAGCTGGAGTTTAGATATTAAGCATGAAACATCTTCTAGTGAGTGTCTACAAAGTTTGTTCAAATAAAAGCCCTGGGGTCAAAATTGGCCCCGCCCCGGGGGTCATTGATTTTCCTTATATGTGTATAGCAAAAACTTAAAAATCTTCTTTGAAAAAACCCAAATAGCTAGAGTTTAGATATTAAGCATGAAACATCTTCTAGTGAGTGTCTACCAAGTTTGTTCAAATAAAAGACCTGGGGTCAAAATTGGCCCCGCCCCAAGGGGGTCTTTGATTTTCCCTATATGCATACAGTAAAAACTTAAAAATCTTCTTTTTAAGAACCCAAAGAGCTAGAGCTAAGATATTTAGCATGAAACATCTTCTAATGAGTGTCTACCAAGTTTGTTCAAATAAAAACCCTAGGGTCAAAATTGGCCCCGCCCCAGGGGGTCATTGATTTTCCCTATATGCATATAGTAAAAACTTAAAAAATCTTCTTTTAAATAACCCAATGAGCTAGAGCTTAGATGTTTAGCATGAAACATCTTCTTATTGGTGTCTACCAAGTTTGTTCAAATAAAAGCCCCTGGATTAAAATTGGCCCTGACGGGGGGGGGGGAGAGTAGATCATTGTTTTTCATTATATGTGTGTAGTAAAAACTTAACATTGTGAAACATCTTCTAATGGGTGTCTTCCAAGTTTGTTCAAATAAAAGCCCTGGGGTTTAAACTGGCCCAGCTCCGGGTGCCTTTATACAGGTGAGCGACCTCAGGGCCATCATGGCCCTCTTGTTTTTATTAAAATAGATATTACAATTATTGTATAAGAAACAATTATGATCAACATGGTAATGTAACCAGTGTCATATTGTTAGTAAGTGTGAACAGATACCTTCAGAGGGGGTCTTCGCTAATAGCGATAACATAATAAGGGACAATTACACAAGTGTGGTGTTGATCATGCATTACACATATGGATTATAAATGATTGTATACATGTATATCCGTTGCTATTAATAACCACAATCATAAAGAAATAACAAGTAATATTCTAATCTCTAGCATGCCAATCAAAGTTAATAATGAACAATGTCTTTCGTCCGTTCATTCATAAGTGATATACAATTCTGGTAAAAACCAATTAACCATTGAAAAGTTTATAATCATATATCTACTAGTTCATTTTCACCTGCTGCATTTCTTGCTTGGACGCCCTTTGATGCTTTGCATCAATGCTTTTCTTGTTATGTACTATAATTCATCTTGCAGGGCACCAGAGTTCGATACTTACGGAATTTTGCATAACTACATTTGCATCAAAAATCATTTATGTTCAATTTTTATGATAGCCACACTTTATCCTTGCATATCGTGGCTATTTCCTTAACAAAGACACTAAAAAAAGAATTAAAAAAATGTTGACTCAACTGGGATTTGAACTCCAGACCTCTCACACACTAAACGAGCGTTACCCCTGCACCGCGGAGAAGTTATAAAAACAGAGGCTGAATAAAATCAAGTAATTCTAAATTTAGAATTTCCATTGCATTTCGGGTATTTAAAGCAGCACAGGCTGAATAAAATCAAGTCATTCTAAATTTAGAATTTCCATTGCATTTCGGGTTAGGGTAATTTCGAGGTATTTTGTTCAGGGTAAACCTGTTGTTTAAAATTGAAGTAAATAATTTAGCAAAAATGTACTCGCCAAAACAGTCTAACATGTAGAAACTATATATTTAACTACTCGGCAGTCAGATTTATTTGTGTAGTATTCGGTAATCGACATCGCTAAAAATAGCATTTTCATTGATTAAAATCATATTCATCCGCGTAATTTGTGAGTGTGCATTTATTGACAATTCTATAAGCCAACACTACTTTTAAAGTTTGAATGTGTAGTAATTTGTTGGACACTTGTAACAAAAATTGTTCTTTCTTTTAAATTGCTGGTTTTTAAGCAGTTTTGAGTGAGAACTACTTTGCGTTGTTAGGTCTGTTAGGAAATTTTGTGTTAGACCGTGGATGTTAGCTATGTATTTACTGATCTGCGATCAGAAAATACAAAAATGAATTATCCTCATACTTTGACAAAACATCATTTTGAACAAGACTGTCTAGAAGGTTGAACTGACCTTAACCTTTAAATGACCTTGACCGTCAAGGCCAAATTATTGAATATTGGTTAAATTGACATAATTTTGTTATTTAAGTATGGATTTTATTTATACTTGGACAAAACAAGAGTTGCTAGCAAACAAACATAGTGAATTATCGAGATGTGACATTAACCTTAAATTGACCATGACTGTCAAGGTCAAATTAATGAAATTCTCATGTTTTTTCTGTAACTGGCCCTAAATTAGTTATAATTTATAAATGGATAAACTTCATATTATGACACAACATCTTTTAGGTTAGGACCTTCATGTATGGTATATCAAACTCAAATTTTTGATACGACTTTACCACCACTGACTTGTGTTCAGGTGCGTTGTCATGCAGGAGTTTGATTCCGCGTACGCAGGTACAGGGACAGGCTGTAGTATAGTGACTAACAACAGCAGAAAGAACTGAATCTCGATAAAGGATTCCAGTAACACTCCTGCCTTCTGGTATAGGAATTCGAGCCACCATTCCCTGGCAATCAAAAAATAATGCATACATAATGCATTTTGAGGTGCGAGCTCTACGGGCAATTTGGGGCCGTCATTTTCACCGACCCACACCTTATTTTTTTCTTTACCATCAGGCTCATAAAAATAGACCCATGTTTCATCACCAGTCACAATTTCATTCATACGGTTTTGGTCAGCAATTTTGTACCTATCGAGCAGCTGTGACGCAATTCACACGTGCTCCTGTTTTTGGTCCTCAATAAGACAGTGGGGTATCCACCGGGCGCAAACCTTGGTTAACTTTATCACGCGAGTCAATATTTGAAAAACCCATGACGAATTAATGCCACATAAATCACCTATCTCCTCCACTGTCTTTAACAACATTTTTAACAGCAGCAATATTTTCGTCAGTCATTGTTGTGACTGGACGACCAGGACGGGCCGCATCTTTTGTAGTCTCTCTACCGGAGGTAAAAAGTCAAACCCATCTTCTAACTGTGGAATACGATAGGGCACTATTCCCCTAAACCTTGTCAAAGTCTGATTTAATATCAGGTACAGCAACACCAAGCAATGCGCGAATTTTACAATACACTCTTTGCTTGTCTTGAAAATTGTTCTCTTTTTCTGCCATTTTCAACTGCAGTGTACCTGACCATAGTCGATTCAACTGAACATTTCGCTCACTGCGTAGGTATTTCACGGTTTCCTCATGCATATAATTGTAGAGGACAGTCTTACCTTTCCATACATGTATAATATGTACCAATTACACTCAAATTAACGTTAAAAATTCACACTGATTAATACTTTATAAATGCCCCTCGTATATATAAAAAAAAATTTTATATTTTTTCCTCTTCCATTATATAATATGCATATGTTTATAAAAATTAAAAAAAAGTAAACTTAACTTTTAATCTTTACGATTTGTTTTAATCCTTTATCTGTTTGCTTTTAGAAAAAGTAAATAAAGTCGAGCATTGCCCCAGCCCGGCAGGGGCTCTTGTTTGCCGAGTTATGGCTATTTTTAGCCAACACATGTCATCATTGATGGCCCTTATGTTTCTCCATAAGTTGCCTTGCATATGCAAATGTCGTATCAACACACTCATTTAACAAATAGCCAACCACCTGTGAACAATTGAACAATTTACCGTAAGGTTCAGGTTGTTCTAACTTTTTTAGATTATCATCTTGTTAATTACCTTTGGGAAAGAAAAAAATGGGTTATGACTGTAACGTTCTGAATTGACTGTTGTTTAGTAATCAATAGAAGGATATCACTCATATAGGTTTTGTCTATAACTTTCAGAGAGATGTTGCTAAAAGATCAAATCAACTTTAATTTATTAAAGGACAAGTTGCAACACAGCTGCAATACTGTTGTACAACTGTTTGTGGTAGCATGTTCACTATACTGCACAGCTGATCAATACAGTAAGTTATCATTTCTTAAGCTATTCTCATACATGTGAACTTTTTTATATGATCAAGTGGGAGATTTTTCTTCAAAAAGAGGGAGATTTTAGAATTTGCAATAAACAAAGAAAGAGAAGTTCTGACATCAAAAATAGGGAGATTTCATTAATTTGTGAAAATACCCCTTATTTTAAGAAAAAATATTTGAAAATATGCCTGCAGAAAGTAGGAGTCTTCCCACTTACTTCAGTAAGAACACACTTTTAAATAACTGTTACTTTCCTTATGGGTTAAATACAGTTGAAATGTATGGTATGGTGTCCTGTTTGGGCCAGTTAAAGGACTCTTCTTGGTATGTTATATTTCTTGCCTATAGTCTTGCCCCACCTTTCTGTACTTTTATAGATAAAGTAGCAAGATTTTACATTCTCGCAAGAAACTTTTCGCGCCATTCAACATTGAATTTGTCTCATGCTTATACTTTCTCATACTTTAATCCTCGTGCCAATCAAAATGTAAAAATCTTGGCGATGATTAACCTTAATTTTTGCATGTTTTTTGCCTGAACTATAACCTATTTACAGTACCAGTGTCTATAGTGAGAGTTCTTCGAAAGAGAATGTTAAATTTTGGGGAAAACCCAATTCAAATAAAAAGGGGGCCGTTCCCTTTTTCCCCCAAAATTTTGTTTTTTCCAAGTGACTTTGGTTTAGTTAAAAACCCAAAGAGATTGAAAAATTTTTTGAATAAAATTTAAAAAGGGGGCCCTTGTTCCCTTGTAAAGGAAATCTTAAATTTTTTCCCCAAAGTCTTCTAATTTCTTAAAAGGCACGTAAAAAAGAATTTTCCCCCCCTTTTCTTTAAATCGTTAACAAGGGGGTTTTAAAAATTTGCCCCCAAAAAGGCCCCCCAAGTTTTTTTTTGGATGGGGGTTTAGAAATGAATAAATCCCAATTTGGGTTTTTGACCACCAAAAGGAAAAAAGGGGTTTCGGTTTTTTAGGGGGGGGCCCAAAATTTAAAAAACTTTTTGAAAAATTGATTTTAAATTTTCTTTTTAAATTTTTTGGGTAATTATATTTTTCGGTCCCCAATTTAAAAAAACAAAACTTTTTTTAAAAATTTTGTCCCCCAAAACTTTAAAAAAAAATTCCCTTTACCCACCCTTTTTCATATTTTGGCTAATTTGAAAATTTTAAGGAAACCCTTTTTTTTTGGGGCCCAAACCGGAAAAATAAATTTCTTTGGGAATTTTGCCCAAAAAAACCCCCCATTTTAAAAGAACAGTTTTCAATTTTGGAGGGAATTTTTCAATCCCTTCCCCCCTTTTGAAAGGAAAGGGCAAAGGGCCAATTTTTTAAAATTAAAAAAAAAAGTTTTTTTCCCCAAATTGAAAAATTTTGCCGAAAATTTTTTGCCTTTTTAAAATTTTTAACCCTTAAAACCTTTCACGGGCCCTAAGTTTAAAGCCTTTGGCCAAATTTTTTTTCTAAGGGTTTTTATTTTCCAATGGGGCATTCTTTATTTAAAAGTTAAATTTATTTAAAATTTAAAATTTGTTTTTTTAAATTTTATTGTTCTTTTCCCTTTTAAAAACGTGGGTATAAATTTCCGGATAAGTTACTCGAAATTTTTTTTTGAAAGTGTCTTCTAAAACCCGTAAAAAGACAGTTTGCTGGGAAACAAAACAATTTATCCTTTTGCCTAAAGACAATTTGTTTTTTATCCTAGCAAACTGTTTCTTATGTCTGAAAAGACATTTTTGGAAAAAAAAAACTCGTTTTTTTGTTCCAAAATTTTAAAAATTTTTGCCCAAAAAAACTTTAGGGGAGGCATTTAGTTTTCCCTTTTTTGCCCGGTTTTTTTTTTTCCGTTTTCCGCCTTCCGTCCGTAAAAATTTCCAATTTTCAACTTTGTGTCGCACGTACTCAAAAAGTATTTTGACCTAGACTCATGAAACTTTACAGGAATGTTGATCAGCATGTGTAGTTGTGGCACCTGGGGTATTTTTCGGGTCTGGATATTTTTTTAGTAAATTTTTCAAGAGTTATAGCCCTTGACTTAGTAAAATTTTTGCAATTTTCAACTTGTGTCGCATGTAACTCAAAAAGTATTTGACCTAGAGTCATGAAACTTTACAGGGAGATGTTGATCAGCATGTGGTAGTTGTGAGCACTGGGTATTTTCGTCTGGATATTTATAGTATTTTCAAGAGTTATTGGCCCTTGACTTAGTAAAATTTTGCAATTTTCAACTTGTGTCGCATTGTAAACTCAAAAAGTATTTGACCTAGAGTCATGAAACTTCACAGGAATGTTGATCAGGCATGTGAAGTTTGTGCACCTGGGGATTTTTCATCTGGATTTATTTAGTATTTTTAGAGTTATTGCCCTTGACTTAGTAAATTTTGCATTTTCATTGGTGTTGGCATGTAACTCAAAAAAAGTATATTTGAACAGAGTCATAAAACTTTACAGGAATATTGATCCGCAGCATGTGAAGTTGTGACCGGGTGTATTTTTTTCGCGTTGCTGAATTTATTTTAGTATTTTTAGAGTTATTGCCCTTGAACTTATAAAATTTTTTGCAACAATTTTCAACTTGTGTCGCATGTTATTTCAAAAGGATTTGACCTAGAGTCATTAAACCTTACAGGAAGGTCGTCGCATCAGCATATTTAGTTTTTCACCTGGGGTTTCGCTTGTGGATTTATCCAGTATTTTGTAGAGCTATTTCCCTTGACCTAGTAAAAACCGTTTCATTATGTTGTTATTTGTTCCTGAGTGCTTGAGTCAGAATCAACGAACTTTACAAGAATAATGATCAACATCACTTAGGTACAGGAATAATGATTCACATCACTGTGGAGCTATGCACCTGGGACTTTGCATGTGGATTTTTTTCAGTTTTGTTAAGAGTTATTGCCCTTGACTTACAGAAGTATAATTTTGCAATTTTCAACTTGTTCATGCATAGCTCAAAAAGTATTTCACTCGTAGGCTTGAAAGTTTACAAGAATGTTGGTCAGCATGTGTACTTATGCACCTTGTGGATTTATTCAATATTTGTAACGTTCTTGCCCAATACTTAGTAAAAGATTTTTAGTTTTCAAAAAATATTTGACCTAGAGTCATAAGATTGACAGAACAGTGGCGCGGTGGGGGTACCCGTGTCCTATAGACACATTTCTAGTTATTAGTATTAAAACATGATTATCTCTATTGATGTCTTAAACATTATAGAAAGAAAAGTTATAATAGAGGCTAACAAGAGCTGTCACAGGCGACAGCCAAGCTCGACTAATAAAATACTGGACGCAGTAAGGAGGACAAAACTATGAAAGAAAAATCAATTATGTATAATTATGTACAGTGAAAGTTGAGAAAACCGGACGGCTTTCGGACTTAGGGTTTTGTCCGGTTTTCTCAGCGGTTCGGTTTTCTCAAGGGTTCCCCTTTCCCAGCTGTTCGGGGATTTTATATTAAAACCCGGGAAAAAATGATTTTAAAAAGGAAAGCTGTATTTTTTGAAATTTTCCCAAGATTATTTTTAGGTATTTTTGGTTTAAAAATTAAGAAATGATAAAAAAAACAAGAAAAATTTTTTTTTAATTGTTTTTTGTCCCATTATTGCAATAAAAAAAAAATAAAAGAAATGGATTTAAAATAAACAGCATTTTCCCATAAATAAAATCAAGTCCGGGGTAAATCCGAAATATGTTTATTTTTTGGGTAATAGAAAATGTTTTAAAACCAACATATTTTAAATTTGTTTGTTTAAAAATAATAACATTTTTGATCAGTTTTTTTATGAAAGGTCTAGGCAAAGTTTCAATGTTTTTAATTAATTTTAACTTTGTCACTTGTAGACAGCTCTCGTCGAATTCTTTTCAGCCATGGAATAGAACTTAGCGCCGATAAATGTCGTTTCCGTTGCGTTGTCATTTTAGGAAATGAATATACAAAAAGCAAACACAGTAGAAAAATACTCTATTTTTATTCATTCTGATTTTAACTGATCAATTCCTTGTGCATTTTGGCATTTATATAAAACGATAACATCTATACATTTCAATAAATTAACCTTTGAAAAGAGACATTATAAATATCAGACAATCATTGTTCCGTCGTATTAGACACAACCAATTGATAAGTACACAAGGTTATTCACACATTCGGCGTCCGTATTGTCAGGGTAATTGTCTATATAATTAACTTTGTAGTTTCCCAATCAACCGTCCGATATTCGGTTTTTACAGATTCCGGTATTGCCAATGTTTAATACAATAGTTTGAAAAAGGGAAAATTTGGGACTGAATTATTCGTCCGGTATTTAGAGAGTTCCGATTTTCTCAGCGTCCGGTTTTCTCAAATTTCACTGTATTAAGTTATAGTAAAAAAATAACATTTGTTAACATAAATTCCAAGATCAAGGGAAATAATTCTAGAAATAGTCACGATAGAGTTATGAACCTTGTCACACAACATGTGTGTAATGATAAGAAATATATATTTGAAGTTTGAAGTCGATACCTTAAAAAGTAAAGAAGTTATATATTTCTTAAAGAAAATCCTAAGTTCAAAGAGAGATAAATCTGTAAAAATTGCTTCAAGAGTTATGAACATTGTCACATAAAATGTAATTGATGATAAGGAAAAAGTATTTGAAGTTTGAGGTAGATACCTTTAAAACTAAAAGTTATAGTAAAAAATAACATTTTTCTAGTAAAAAAATCTAAGTTTTATGGGAGATAATTTCTTGCAATATTGGTGCTAGAGTTATGAACCTTATCACATAAGATGTGGATGTTGATAAGGTACATATATTTGAAGTATGAAGTTGATCCTTTAGAAATAAATAAGTTACAGTAAAAAATAATATTTTTTAAGGAAAATTCTAAGTTCAAGGGGAGATAAATCTGAAAATATTGGTGCTAAAGTTATGAGCCTTGTCACATAAGATGGGGTTGATGATAAGGTACATATATTTGAAGTATGAGGTTGATCCCTTAAGAAATAA